TACAGTGCAGTGAGTCTAAGCATTTGTAATTATAAGAATCTTCAGGATAATCTTTTAATTTATCCCGTATCATTTCCAACGTGGGCACCAAATTTTCTTTATAAAATCCGTATTATTATACGACGAATATCTTCCTGAAAACCCGCGTCTATTCTTTTTAATTTTTGCCCTATGCGCTTTCTGTGGAAGGAATGGTTGACTACATCTCCCCTTTTTATAACCCGATAAATGGTAGACCGACTGATTTTTGTCAGGATACAAATTCTGTTTAAAATTTGATTTTGCGAGGAATCTGGATTTTCGTTTTTCAGACAATCATACATATTTAGGATTACTCTTTGGGTCTGTTCCTCTAAATCTTTATGAAAGAATTCTGCCTGCACAGGTTCATCAACTATCTCCTCGTGGCTTGGAGCATTTTCCCAAGGTCTCCAAAGAGCCATATTTAGGACACACAAGAACAATCAACACAACAATTAAATCAACAAGTAAACTGAGTATTCAAAAGTCAAAAACACACAAACTAATAAAATCTATGAAAAAACACGGACAGACTAAAGAAAACACGTTTATTCACCGCTACACGGCACTGGCTAAACTGGTTCAATTTTCAGTAGCCACCTGCACTTGTTCGGAGCTCTGAAATACACGCTTTCTCATTGGCTACGTCCACGCATAGGCGTGCTTTACTCCACGTGGACCGGTGATCTTATACGGGGGATATTTGCTGCGAAATTTGGCGATTTTTGCAGCAACAGAGCGTGTTAAATATAGATAATATATAAAAAGCACCCGGTATTTCACAGTGTTTCAAGTGACTTCAGATAAAGTATACCTTGAAACTAGAATAGAAGGAACCAGTCAATGATATGTATATCTCCTAATACTCATAGTCTATAGTAAAGATCAGTGTCAATTTTTCGACATACCTGTCATTAAATTTGAAAAATTAGTGTTACTTTTTAAAAATATGGGTGTGCGCATAAGTGTGGTTAGACGATTTAAAGACATGGTGCTTCTTAGATAATTTCCAAAGAGCGGCACAAGCCTAATGAAGGTAGATGTTTCCACCTGTGAGTATTATTATTATGTTAATAATAAAACTAGGTAAATTCGGCGACACGCAATGTAATGTAGTATCCGAATTCATTGGCCAACACTCTCTACCATTTCACTATGTCCATTTGAGTACGGAACACACTGTTTACATTTATATTCGATTTTTGAATGCAACTTCACCATCCGGCCTTTTCGGCGTGTCTTTTCGAACATACATTCTGCCTCCTACCTTTTCTAAGTCATTACAGAGAAAAAATCATTTTCGAGGTTGTAGTAATACAGATGTGATGCGTCCTCTTAAGCAATGCATTCGTTCAACGTTTTAACATTCTAAAGGGCGACGTAATTCCGCGTTAATAAGATGACAAAGCACGTTTCCTGTCTTATCTCCATTGGAAGCGATAAACTTGCTTGTAGAGGAGCAAAATCAAACCAAATAGGATATTGCCCAAGGGCATTTCGATAATGCCATCACGCAGTGGTTGGTTGTAGCTTTTCAGTGATCAAACACCAATATAATCGAACAACTTCGTTATCTGAAGACCGGATATTAGGTATTTGATCAAAAAAGGTCGAATATCTGGCCGATACTCGCGGTAGATCTAGCAGAAATATGGCTTAGTAAAAGTGCTCATAATCTTAGTCAGCGAACTTACGAACAATTGATATACAGGGAAAGCCAAATTTGTTTGAAGATCGAGAAGTGCCTAACAAAGGCGTCGCAGAAGGTCGTGGAATCTGAAAATGTTCGTACAGGTTTCTACTGTCAATCCCTGGAAGGAGCATTGTTCGAACATTTGGAGAATAAACTAATGCATCCTTTCAACATGAATCTTAATTCAAGGCACTGGTGCAACATGTTGGCAAGGCGGTAGATTGCAGCGACAGCATTGCTAGGCAACGCAGTAATGAACTTTCTCTCTGGTACTCATTGGACTCAAGCTGTCAGATAAAATTGGTTATTAGTGTATTTTTCAAAAGGTGCTCATGAATGTTACGATATTATACGAATTTATTTCCAGTCAGTGCCGGTGTAATTTTGTGAGATATTTAATGTTGTGGGACAAACATAGGAAATTATATAAGCCAGTATGCTATATGTTATTGGTACGCTACTATACCTAGGCTTTGCATTTTATATAGTTATATTAGTTTTCACTAAAAATATAGAAAAAAAGCACGTAACTTATTTGATTGTCAACAAATAATGCAATTGGAATGGTCAGTTTGTTATACAGGGTGTCCCAGAAGTCGACGTCAAGCCGAAACCGGGTGATAGGCAAAGTCATATCAGCTATCAGAAAAATATTTAAAAAAAATTTATGTATGTGTTTTGAAAATTATAGGTCTTTGAAAAAAATATAGAAATTTCACACCCTACGGCAGTCTGTCAACTCCTGTTACTACAAATATTAACTTTTTTTGGATTTTATTTTGACAATGTAATGATGAATAATGCATCTTCAAACTGGTGTCTCAACCTTACTGCCAACTTTTCTCGTTCAGGAAAAATTGCCACTTATTTCCCAACCAAGTATTCCAAAGTAAAACTTTGCTCAACTTTAACTGGCTGTACTCGAAAAAAATGTACTACGAGAGTTTGGCAAGTAACCTTAAAAATTGGCGCATTTAATAAATATTCCAAAATGGTATAACACTTAGAAGAATACTCGTTAGCTTATGCACAATTTTTATTTGAAGAAAAACTGATGAAAATTTTTCAAAATTTCCTAATTAAACAGCGATTATGAAAACGCACAAGGACCCTTAAGGATAACTGTTTACACAACAGTGGGCGTCCAAATGCTGCTGATGATGATTTACCTTTACAGCAAATGCTCAAACTGTTTTCCAAATAAACTTCAGCAGTCAAAGTCTCTGGGAACTCAAACGGACCGATTGTTTTACCATTTAAAATTCCTGTCCAATGGTTTATCTTGAAGCGATATTGAGATTTATCTTCTCTCATCAAATGTGGGTTTGCTACGTACCACTCGTGTAAGTTATGGAGGTTCATGTACCCATCTTTCTTAAATGTGGTCTCATCCGACCATACAATTTTTTCAAAGAACTGTGGATCTTTCCTGTGTCTTTCTAACATTGTGCGACAAAAAGCAACTCGGGACTCATAATCCCGGGGCAGGAGAGGTTGAACACGCTGTATGTGGTATGGATGAAGCACATCACTTACTTGCTACTGCACACTTTGATACCGATCAGTACTCCTTCGCTTACTGCGCATCTTTACATGTTCGTGCTTGTTGATTTCGTACTGTTACTAATTTTGGATTCGTGAACTGGACTGTTGATCGCTTGTGATTTGGTTTTGGACTGTTTAATTGCTCTTCAAAACAACATTTGCTTTCCTTAGACTATCTTTGATAGTGTGATTGTGCAGTGGCGCTATGTCCGTGTACACCGTACAAGCATATGCTAACATGCACCTCATTTATGGGGAATGCAGATGCAACGCTAGTGCTGCAGCGAGACTTTACTGTGAGAGGTACCCGAATGCAGCTCGTCATCCAGATCATCGAGTGTTCACAAATGTACACCGCTTACTGTTCTCAGAGGGCCAACTACCAAACCAATCACACGGTGAGGGAAGATCTTTCCTTCCTTACGAAGACGTGGTGCTAGGAGCTGTCGAAGAAGACCCGAGTACTTCAGTGCGTGCAATAGAACTAAAAACAGGTGTGCCCAAAAGTACAGCCCATAGAATCTTGCAAAAAAACGTGCTCCATCCATAACACGTACAGCGTGTTCAAGCTCTTCTGCCCCGGGATTAGCCCCGAGTTGCTTTTTGTCGCACAATGTTAAAATGTCACAGGGAAGATCCACGGTTCTTTGAAAAAATGTTATGGTCAGATGAGACCACATTTAAGAAAGATGGGTACATGAACCTGCATAACTTACACGAGTGGCACGTAGCAAACCCACATTTGATGAGAGAAGATAAATCTCAATATCGCTTCAAGATAAACCATTGGACAGGAATTTTAAATGGTAAAATAATCGGTCCGTTTGAGTTCCCAGAGACTTTGACTGCTGAGGTTTATTTAGGTTTTTTGCAAAATCATTTAGTAAATTTATTGGAGGACGTGTCACTGAGTATTTACAGGGACATGTGGTTTCAGCATGATGGCTGCCCAGCGCACTATGCACTCTCAGTGAGAGAGTATCTCGATCAAAACTTTCCAGGCAGATGGATAGGGCGGTCTGGTACAATGCCGTGGCCAGCCCGGTCACCAGACTTGAATCCGTTAGATTTTTTTTACTGGGGAACTGTAAAAGAAAAAGTGTATTTCAAGCCGATTCAAAATGTAGCTGAGCTACGGCAAAGACTATTGGAAGCAGCTGAGTTTGTTAATAACCGTGGATTCGCTCGTTTAATAACCCGATCTTTTTTAAGAAGATGTCGAGCGTGTATTGCGGCTGAAGGAAAACAGTTTGAGCATTTGCTGTAAAGGTAAATCATCATCAGCAGCATTTTGACGCTCACTGTTGTGCAAACAGTTATCCTTAAGGGTCCTTGTGCGTTTTCATAATCGCTGTTTAATTAGGAAATTTTGAAAAATTTTCATCAGTTTTTCTTCAAATAAAAATTGTGCATAAGTTAACGAGTAACCTTCTAAGGGCCAGTATTATAATGTCTAGTTGACCGGAGGTTGAATGTCAAACTCGACTCAAACCGCACTTTACGTATTATAAACGATAACCGAAGGTTGAACCGCGGGTTGAGCGCTCGTTCAGTCAACTCGAACCTATCCTCAGGTTGAACTGTCAACCGAAGGTTTAAAGCGGCATTCTAACCTCAAATAACGAAATTGTGATTAGTGTGTTTATGTTTATGAAGTTACAAAATTATTTGTCAAAAAATGGCATCTCCATCATCATCACCAGAAACTGAATTAAATTTGCATAGCAGACTAGTTTGGGCAGATAGTAGTAACGAATCGTCGGATTCTGATGAGAGTGAAGAACCTAGAACCAGGGCACCTCGCAATTTTAGAGCAAGAATGGATCATTTCACCCGTTGGAGCGACGAGGAATTTCGAATCAGATTTAGATTAAGCAAGGATACGGTCGTAATGCTAGAGCAAAGATTTCGGAATGAGATAGCACCGAAAACTAACCGGTAATTATACAAAATGTAAATTGCATGAAATGACGAGTATGTTTTAAATTTGTTGTTTTTAGGAACTGTGCGATAACATCAATGCAACAAATACTTCTTGCCTTGAGATTTTGTGCTACTGGATGCATGTTGCAAACAATTGGTGACTTTGCAGGTATACATAAGTCCACAGCAGGTCAGATTGTAAAGAAAATAGTTAAAATGATTGCAACATTGGCTCCAGAATTTATATATATGCCAAGGACCCAACAAGAAATAGAAGAAACTAAACATAAGTTCTATTCAATTGCTCGATTTCCTCGAGTTGTAGGAGCTATTGATTGCACTCATATAAAAATAATTTCACCAGGTGATTATTTTTGCACTAGGTTTGTAATAATAAGTAACTCTCGTATTTTTGTAGGAGGGGAAAATGCTGAATATTTTAGAAATAGAAAAGGCTATTTTTCTCTTAATGTGCAAGTAGTAGGTGACTCAGAGCTAAAAATTAGGGATATTGTTGCACGATGGCCAGGCTCAAGCCACGATCAAACAATATTTGCTAACAGCAGATTACAAGGTCGACTTGAACAAAATGAATTTGGAAATGCCATTCTGCTTGGAGATTCAGGTTATGGTTTAAAAAAATACTTAATTACTCCAATTGCAAATCCCAGAACAAACAGTGAACAACTTTTTAATGAGGCACAAATTAGAAGTCGGAACCCAATTGAGCGATTATTTGGAGTATTAAAAAGAAGGTTTCCTATTTTATCACTTGGAATAAGGGTCTCACTTGGCACTGCAAAGAACATTATTGTCGCTTGTGCCATATTACATAACCTGGCCATCGATATGAAAGAGCCAGATCCAATAGTAGATCCTAATACTCTAATTGGCAATGAACCCATACATGAAAATGTTCCAGTTGGAGATGGAAATCATAACTTTCGAGAAGAATTTATTTTATATTTTTCAAATTTGTTAGAGCAGGCACAATAAAAATTATATTATTGTTTTATTATTTATACTTTTTGTTCTATATGTATATGTCCTTTTCATTGAAGTATATATGTTATGGCGCACAAATCATAGTTCTCTATAGAGATATTTATGTTGACAATTAGAAATGAAATATATGAATAAATAATACAAGTTTTTAACAGTATAACTAAACTTTTATTTCCTTTATAATTGTTTTTTTAGCAACTCTATCTCCAATAGCAATTTTGCATTTTGCAATCTTATATTTTCTATTTTGTACTTATGGATTTCTGCTTCTCGTTCCATACGTGCAATATGATATTCCTTATTTCTTTGGGCTTCCTCCTCCATTAATTTCCTCTTTAAATTTTGTTTATCATCTTCACTTTGGTGATCAGTTGCCTTTCTCTTCACTTGTAATACTCTATGTCTTTTGCTTCGTAACATTTTAGGAGTGTAATCTGACCAGTCTGAAATATATATAGTCATATAATAATGGAAAATGTACAGACCATTGATTTGTACTACCTTTCTTAATTTCAGGATCTTTCTTTGTTTCTGTCACCATTTCGTTTTCTTTTACTTCAGATTCACTATTCTTAAAAATATCTAAAATATAAATATAGGGAGTATATTATTAAACATAAGACAATGTATACCATTTTTTTGTTCAGCAACTGTCTCTTTTGGCAGGTTATCAAATAGAATATCTTCTTCTAAAGCTTGCTGCAATGTATCTGAAATATAATTTTGCATATGCTGAAATCATTATAGAATATTAAATTATTATACATACTAGGCTGTCCCTTCTCTACTACATCCATCACCAAATCGCTATCACCATTACTAGGCTCTAAACCCTGGACTGAGAAGCTAATTATACTATTAATTTTAGCATACAATAATTTAAGTGAACCTTTTATATCAGGTTCGCTCACACCACCACCAGTCTGATATAACGCTTGTCTTTTGTGAGCCTCGAGCTTGCGCACTTCTTTTTTTAGGTTATCGTATTTGCAACGTAACTGTTCAGCTGTTCTTGGCTCCATAGTAGTGGCATTATAAATATCTGCTATTTTTGCCCATGCAGTTATCTAAAATATACTCCACATGTAGATTTTTTACTAAGAATTTATAGAAATAATCACTCACCTTCTCTTTCCAAGTTGTGGCATCTGTTTTCTTACATTCGATAATATTCTTATGAGAAATAATTATATCCACAAGCGTATGACAATCAGCTTCTGAATATATTATTCTTTTGCTTCTCGTAGACATATTAAATAACTTTAATTCACAAATAAAACGATAAATAGCGGAGGAAAATAGAGAATTGACATTCCTGGCAAATGACGTTTGTTTCTTCCGCCAAATAACTCGCATTTCATTGGGTCAAATCAAAATGTCAGTGTAGCCAACATACCTTAACGAGCGTCAAGTCTCGGTTAGCCAACTTATGGTTGTAAGTTGCTTTATAATACCGACCAGCTCTCAGCCGGCGGTTGAATTTCAACCGGTGGTTGAACAACCTTCGGTCAAGAGCAGCTTTTATAATACCGGCCCTAAGTGTTATACTATTTTGGAATCCTTATTAAATGCGCCAACTTTTAAGGTTACTTGCCAAACTCTCGTAGTACATTTTTTTCCAGTACAGCCAGTTAAAGTTGAGCAAAGTTTTACTTTGGAATACTTGCTTGGGAAATAAGTGGCAATTTTTCCTGAACGAGAAAAGTTGGCAGTAAGGTTGAGACACCAGTTTGAGGATGCATTATTCATCATTACATTGTAAAAATAAAATCCAAATAAAGTTAATATTTGTAGTAACAGGAGTTGACAGACTGCCGTAGGGTGTGAAATTTCAATATTTTTTTCAAAGACCTATAATTTTCAAAACACATACATAAAATTTTTTTAAATATTTTTCGGATAGCTGTTATGACTTTGCCTATCACCCGGTTTCGGCTTGACGTCGACTTCTGGGACACCCTGTATAATATATGATTGTATAATTTTGAAAATGTCACATGTCCCTTACTTACAACAGTCTTTTTGGAGCAGTAAAAATGCATTTTTTGTGCATCTTATTGTGCATTTTCCTTCAATCGTAACTTGTTAGCAAATATTAGTACAGCCCTAAAAATGTATGTCAAAATTCCACTTTTATTCTTATCACTTTCTTGATTTTCTTAAAACCGCATTTTGCAGCAAATTGAGTTTTTCACAAAAATGCTTTGTTGGCAAAAAAGAAACTCATAACATTGTTTTTCAGTCATCTCTACACACACTGTAACAATCAGACGAAAAACATCAAGAATCCTCCTCCAGATAGGCTGCTGAAAAAAGGCATATGCGACGTTAAGCTTCCGTTTCAAGTAATGTTTTTTATTGGAAATGTCTTTTCTAACAGCAAGTCGTTAAGGATTGCACAATTTTTAATACCAGAAGCGTATGTGCGCCAGAAAAAATTTCCGAAATGTTCGGTATATTTCCTAAAATACGAGGTCTGAGTCTGGCAACGTACCGTCCGATCTGGCAACAACGGAGGCGCCGGCCTTGGTAGGGAGACAGGCGAAGATGTGATCTGTGTTCAGTACAAGTTTGAACACGCTCGAATGATTTGATTTTTTATGAAACTCATTTTGGGGCAGTTGGAAACATTCAAATGGCTGTAACTGACCAGCTGAAGGTCATTCCACTTTTGGAGTTCCAGGCGTGGAAGAACTGTCTCCAGCGCTGTGTGGCTTCAGAAGTAAGTTATTTTGAGGGCGACAATATAACATTGTAATTATATTTGAATAAACAAATTAAAAAAAAGTCAGTCTCATCATTTAATTTACTTCGTACTTCGAATTCTGCAATTTTCTAGGTGTCGCAATGTAAGATACTTTCATATGTTAACGTAAAACGTTGCTCCAATTTAACTGACATATATTACCAGTGCCAAGTTCTCAGCGCATTCTAATTATCAAGACTTGCATACAATGCAACAGACTGAATCATCCAATTATCACGTTTTAACATGTTTCGATCCAAAACATTGAAACCGGAATTACAACCTACAAAACGTTCGTTATTCGACCAGTTTATTCTTGTAACACAACTCAGATTTTTGTTTGGCCAAACATTCGGCGTCGGCCGAAGGTTGTGTTGAAAGCCTAACAGCGGCTTCGACCAAAAGAATGACCTTCAGACAAAAAATTGGTCGAGAGTCGTGAGACAGGCCATGATATTCCTATGTATTTGGCGACGCTAAATCCGAATTTCGGATCAGAACAGTTACTAGATGTCTTAGTATTGTAGCGTTTTTCTGGGTTCTTTTGGTTGTGGATTAAAACTTGATAGAACATTTATGTACGCCATTATTTATGTCTGACTAATTCTTATGTCGCCATTGACTGCACTATACTCCACTCCGCTCTGCTACTCTACCGTATTCAGTACTCTGCTTCCATCTCCCGGCCGCCGAGTTATATACAGGGTGTCCGCAAAGTTGGGGTTTTCCTTTACACGACGTGTAGATCTTGAAAACATAAGCAATTTTTCTTAGTACCATATACACCAATGTCTTAAGGGAACCGAGATAAAGAGCTCTGTAACATCAAAAATATCTGAATACCGTCCTGTAGCCGCGACCCGCGACATCACCGAGTGGTACAAGGTCACTGGCTCAACCCGACGACAGAACTGGGTCGGGGTCAGTGTGTCAGGTCAGTATGCAACCTTCAACCGTCGGTTACGGTCACGCGTGTATAGGTAAACAAACCCGTGTAATCGATTGCGTTTTAAAAAAATAATAATGGCACATTCATACACCAATAATGAACTCGTTGATATGTAGTTAATTTATGGCGAATGTCTTCAAAATGCTACAGAGGCTTCGCGAGTGTATACAGATCGTTTTCCTAGACGACATCATCCAAGGCCCCGCAGATTTATGTACCTGGTCCAGAGAGTCAGGGATACGGGCCATTTGGAGGAATTTCGAGGTGGGCACAGTGGGAGGCCTAGACAACCACGAATGGTGCAAGTTGAGGAAGAACTACTGAATCGCGTAGACGAGAAGCACTAGAGACGTGGCTAGAGAAGTGCAAGTATCAAAAACTAAAGTGTGGCAAACGCTGCGTGAAGAGGGGCTGTATCCGTTTCACGTCCAACGTGTACAAGCCCTTCAACCTGACGATTTTCCAGCAAGAGTGCGGTTTTGTGAGTGATTGTTGCATCAACATGACAATAATCCGGACTTTTTGAAGTGCATATTGGTGACAGACGAATCTACGTTCACGCGTAATGGGGTGAATAACTTTCGCAACACTCATGTTTGGTCAGTAGAAAATCCGCACGCTATCCGCCGAGCACATTTTCAACAAACATTTTCGGTGAATGTTTGGGCTGGCATGGTGAACGGTATGCTCATTGGACCATTTATTCTCCCAAATCGATTGGACGGGATGCAATACCTAGACTTTTTACGCAACATTTTGCCTTCCTTGTTAGAAGATGTGCCATTAAGTGTAAGACAATCAATGTGGTTTCTGCACGACCGTGCACCGCCCCATTTTACACGCGAAGTGCGTGAGTTTTTGAATGAATTATTTTCGAATAGGTGGATCGGACGTAATGGACCCGTAGCGTTGCCTCCGCGATCTCCAGACTTAACACCATGTGATTGTTTGCTTTGGGGAGAAATGAAACGCTTAGTGTACAAAACTGAAGTGCATTCGGTTGACGAACTTCGTCTCAGAATTGAACAAGCTGGTGCTTTCATTCGGGGGAGGGACTCCATTCTGAAAGCCTGCACCGATGCTTGGCTACGTCGTGCACGCACCTGTGTTTTTGAATCAAACGGCGATAACTTCGAACAATACCTATAAAGTACGTTTACCTAAAAACTGAAAACGCGGCAACGCCGTCATATTTCTTACCTCTGTTCGTGGTCTGCACCACCGCCGGCGTCTGCTCGGTAGCGCATCAGCTGATTTCAGTTTCTGTTGGAGCGGTATGATTTCGGGCAGAGACGTACTTAGCCCTTCTCGTCAACTGGAGAGTGAGTACTTTTTCCTTTATTTTTTTTACTTGGTCGCCCTCGGACACATTACCTTTGTTATTTCAAGGGTAGTTGTTTCTGAAAAGGACAACCCCAACTTTGCGGACATCCTGTATATAGTCCCCATTGCTGCTTCGAGAAAGGTCTGGTGAACCGCAAGGCGACATCTAGAATATTAGAGGTCACTTCGCGTCGATCTAGAAGGCGAGCCACTGTCACGGCCCTCACAGACGCCGCCAAGCGGCTTGTGCGCCAACAGCACTGTTTGTCACAGTATTTATCCCCATCTCCAAAAACTACTTCTAGAAGTGGTGCAAGGATAACTACAAATAATTACGAAGGCTAGAATTGTTAAAGTAGTAGTAGTAATAGAAGTAGTAGCAGGTAGTAGTAGTAGTAGTAGTAGTAGTAGTAGTAATAGTAGTAGTACAAAGTATACTCTGTAACAGTTTACGAACGCAGCCTGTAGGGAAAGTACAAATGTCGAGAATGGCCCCATGCCAGAAAGGGTAATACAGGGTGTGAACGTTATGATAGTCATTATTTAAATAGGGGTCAAAACGGCATTTTCTACAGAAAAGCGCCTTTAAAGTAAAATAAAATCTGACACCGCTGCAAAGCCAGACGGAACGCAGTGTAAATAAAGATGGAGTTTGTTATTTTTGGCTCTTAGCTATTATTTTATTATTTTATAATGTACTCGTAAAATGCAAACAATTAAAAAACGGAATTACTACTAACTGTCTCAGCGCTTCACCTGGTGTTTGAAAGTTTATTGAAAGTATTAAAAAAATCCACAAATAGGAAACACAATTTTGATACATACATTGTTTTTGTTTTTAAAACCCACACTGCACTTTTTTGTATTTAAAGAATGTGTTCAAAATGTCGTCCTCCACTTTCCACGCAAGCTTCATTTCGACGAATCCAGTTTCTTCTTACTCTGGGTCCTCGAAGTTGTCCATTTATTATTTTAGCCACTTTAAAATTTTTTTCGCGAAGTTTTGCTTCAGTTGTTATTGGACCAGCCCCATAAACCATCCCTTTAAGTTCTCCCCAATACCAGAAATCCATCGGATTGAGGTCAGGAGATCTTGCTGGCCATTTTCGACGATCAGGAGCATTTCGACTGATCCAACGATTTGGATAATGTTCATTCAAACACTGAATGACGCCTCTAAGAATGTGTTGTGGTGCCCCGTCATGAAGAAACCACAAATACTGTCTCCGTTGTAAAGGCATGTTGTCTGTAGGTCTGTTCTAAAAGTTCTGGTAGGTTATTGGCTGCAATATTTGAATTCTGACGAACTTCACCGTAAACTAAC